TTTTTAAAGAGACTTCACTTCCTCGTCTCTCTTCTCCACTTCATCGCTACTGCGGATCAAGGTGGACGAGAATATCATCAGCACCTAATCCACTCCTGCATCACAATCTCCTCCACACGCGATCCTCTCTCTCTGTCTCTCGTCGCCAAGGCCGCAAGACAAGAGTGAAGGAAGAATATACAGAACACACTACAACCGACCTCGAGGGCTCTGCTCACATCCCGTTCCCCAGAGGGGTTCTGCGTTGTTCTCTCTATCTCCTCTCGTTCTCTTTCCTCGCATTCGCATTAACATTTTAGAGGTGGATTAGGATCATTCATACACCTATTGGGTATCCACGGTCTGCTCGCGTCGCCGTCCGACGGCCGGCGCGAGCCGGGTGCTAGCGCAGATGCCACTCAGCCGCGTCCAAGTTCACAACGGTACCTTCTGCGGGCAGCCCGGGGGTCAAAACTAGCTCTCGGCACGCGGACAGAGGTGGATGGGAGTCATCGGCATGCTAGTCCACGGGTCTGCTCACTCGCCGTCCACGCCGGGGGGCGTCGTGGCGGGTGGCGGGGGTGCGGGGCGGGGTGGCGGGTCGGGGGGGGGGGGTCTTTCTTCTTCTCTCTGGGGGGGGTCGAGGGGGCACGGCGACAGGGTTAGTGTTGGAGGGATCATCTGGGCAATCTATCCAGATGCACCTCTGCTCACCATCCCCAGTCACCGCCCCCCCCCCCCGCCCCCCTTGGCGTCTCCACTCTCTCTCTTCGCCACCCCATCTCCGCCGAACAGAGGTGCGAGGGATCATCGAGCATCGCCTTTATCGCACTCTGCATCACCCTCCACCCCGCCACCCCGGTTGTCACTCTGTCTCCTCTCTGGCGTGTCGGACGCGACGCTTGAGTGAGGGCGAACTAAGGTCCGGGCTGTGTGAGTAGGGTATCATGCAGGCACCAGATTTCAACATCTTGTAGTGCCTGACGTCCCGTGGTGGGGGTGACGGGATAGGTAGAGGAAGCAACAAAGATTGTAGGTCGGGCCAGTGGGCGTTTTTTTTATGTTTTTTTTTTTTTTCAAGCGAGGTAAACCTGCAACGAGGGGCCACGCTTCCGATGGGGTCGCCGCTAGTCCCCACCTTAGCAGAGCATACTACGTCTCTATCTCTCTTCTCTTCAGTCTCTCTTGCTGAGAGCTAGCTGAGCAAGTGTGGAGGGATCATTCGCACGTCTATCTTGCACATCTGCTCCACTGCCCCCGACCAAAAGATGTTTGAAATCCGGTCCCACCGGCGTCTCTCTCTCTCTCTCCCGACTCGCACGCGAGCGACAGCAGGGGAGGATCATCAGGCACGGCTATCTCACGTCTGCTCACGTCGCCCCCGTCCGAAACCGCGGCGTCTCTCTCTCATCTCTTCACGCGACGGCGACAAAGGGAGGGATCAATCAGCACACTATCCACTCTGCTCACTCCCGGTCCCGCACTGCGTCTCTCTGCTCTTCTCGTTCGCGACGGCGACAGAGGTGGAGGTGGATCATCAGCACCTATCCACTGAGTTGCTGCTGCCACTCCCGTCGGCCACCGCGCTTCTCTCTCTTCTCCATCTTTCGCACGCGGACTCAGAGGTGGAGGGGATCATCAGCACGGACGTAAACGACTGCTGCTCACTCCGTCCCACCCGCGTCCTCTCTCTCTCTGCTCTCGCGACGCCGGAACAAGGTGGAGGGATCATCAGCACCTAATCCATTCTCTGCTCACGAGTCCCCGTCGCAACGCGTCTCTCTCTCTCTCCTCGTCTCACGGCGACAAAAAGCGTGAGGGATCATCAAGCACTATCCACTCTGATCATGGTTTTCCCGTCCACCGCGTCTCTGTCTCATCTCTCGCGACTGAGCTGACATGTTAGGTGGAGGATCGATCAGCACGCGTATCCACTCTGCTCACATTCCCGTCCACCACGTCCTCTCTCTCTCTCTCACTTACTGCGATAAGCGTGAGGGATTCATCGCGAGCACTATTCCACTTCTGCTCCACATTCCGTTTCCGCACCTGCGTTCTCTGCGTCTGTCTCGTTTCTTCTTCGCTAGCGAGACAAGTTGGTGGAGGGATTTCATTCAGCATCCTATCGCACTTCTTGTCTCACTATTCTTTTTTAAACAATAATTCTTCCCGTCCGCACCGCGTCTCTCTCTCTCTCTCACTCGCAACGCGACCAATGGTGAGGATCATGCAAGCACCTATCCACTCCTGCTCAACTATTCCCGTCCCACCGCGTCTCCTCTTCTCTCTCATCAGCTAACGCGAAACAAGCGTGGAGGGATCATAGCATACCTATCTCACCTCTGCTCACTCCCGTCCCACCGCGTCTCTCTCTCTCTCCTCTCGGCACTGCCAGAAAGTGACGGGATCAATCAGCACCTATCCAATCTGGCTCACTCCCGTCGCCACCGGCGTCCTCTCTCTCTCTCCTTCTCGCAACGAGACAAGGTGGATGGATCATCAGCGAACCTATCCACCTCTGCTCACTTCCTCGCCGTCCCACCACGTTTCTCTCCTTCTCCTCTCACGCGACAGGTGGAGGATCATCGGCCACCTATCCGACTCTGCTCACTCTCCGGTCGTCCACCACGTCCCTTCGTCTCTCGTCTCTCTCTCTCTCTCGCGACGGCGACAAGGTGGATGGGATCATCAGCAGCCTAATCCACTCGCCTCACTCGCGCGTCCCCACGCGTCTCTCTCTCTCTCTCGTCTTCTCTCCCGTGCACGCGAGCAAGGTGGCATGGGATCTAATCAGCACCTATCCACTCTGCTCACTGTTTGAATCCCGTCCCCACCACGTTCCTCTCTCTCTCTCAGCACGCGAACGACAAGGTGGAGGGATCATCCCAGCACTTATCCACATCTGCTGCACGTCCCGTCCGCACCGCGGTCTCTCTCCTCTCTCTCTCTCCGCTACTCGCGACAAAACGGTGGAGGGATCATGAGCACGCTATCCACGTTGCTCACTCCCTCCCACCCGGCGTCTCTCTCTCTCTCTTCGGCAACGCTGACAAGGTGGAGGGATCATCAAGTCACCTATCCACTTCTGCTCACTCCTTTTCCGTCCCACCGCTGTCTCTCTCTTCTCTTTCGCATCGCGACAAGGTGGAGGATGCATCCGCACCACCTATCCATCTGCTCACGTCCGTCCCACGCACGTCTCTCTCTCTCTCCACGCGACAAGTGTGGAGGGATTCATCATCACCTTATTCCACTCTCCTGCTCACTCAACGTCCACCTTACGTTCTCTTCTTGCTCTCTCTCGCACGCGACAAGGTGGAGGGATCATCAGCACCTATCCACTCTGCTCACTCCCGTCCCACCGCGTCTCTCTCTCTCTCTCTCGCACGCGACAAGGTGGAGGGATCATCAGCACCTATCCACTCTGCTCACTCCCGTCCCACCGCGTCTCTCCTCTCTCCTTCTCTGTCTTGCTACGCAGTTACTGTTACACTAGGTGAGGGATCATCAGCACCTATCCACTCTGCTCACTCCCGTCCCACCGCGTCTCTCTCTCTCTCTCGCACGCGACAAGGTGGAGGGAATCATCAAGCACCTATTCCACTCTGCTACTGTATCCGTCTCAATACCACACACCAGCCGCGTCTCTACTCTCTCTCCTCCTCTCTCTATTCGCAACGCGACAATGTGGAGCGGATCATCAGCACCTATCCCCTCTGCTCACTAATCCCGTCCCACCTTACGTTCTCTTCTTTCTCTCTTCTGTTCACTGCGACAAGTGTGGAGGGTATTCATCTGCAACCTATGCCTACTCTGCTCTACTTTGTCACCGTCGCCACCACGTCTCTCATCTCTCTCGCGACGCGACAAGGTGGAAGGGATCATACAGGCACGTTATCCACTCTGCTCAGCATCCCGTCCACCAACGTCTCTCTCTCTACTCCTCAGCACGGCGATCAAGGTGGAATGGGATCATCGCACCTATCCACTCTGCTCGCTCCACGCCCGTCCACCATCGTCTGCTTTCTCGTGCGGACGGGGCGGTGGGAGCCAACAACACCTCTCTGCTCACTCGCGCTCGGTCGTACTGAAGTGGGTGATGACGGCCGCTTGGGCAACCCCGTCGTTCCCGACGTCGTAGATGTAGAAGAGTTTTTCTGCGGCGGAAAAAGAAAAACAACAGACACGATCACGTACGCGAGCAAAGAGAAATTCGCCGCGCTTCCCGTCCGCCATCGCCGATCGATCGATCGTACATCCTAACCCCACCCAGCCACGCCCCCTAAAAGGGCCACGCGGCAGGGGCCACGCTTCCTAACTAGCTACGGATTCTGTCACGCCAGCGGGTGTAAGGTGATCGGAAGTACGATTTCTCAGGGCGACTGCGATGAATGTCGGGCGTGTGAACTCTGACCATGCGCACGGCAGCGGTTGGCTGTGTTAGGCGGGGAGGGGGGGGACGTCGGAAGATGTTTGAAGTCCCAACGCCAAAGGAGCCGAACAAACCAAACTACTCGCAACTCTTATAACTTAAAAACGCTAAAACTAACTTGCAACTGTCTTCGTAACTAAGCAAGTGGCCGCGGAGCGACAGCGGGCTCATAGTCTAAAGCGTTACTGCGGTGACTCCCGTAGTGGAGTGGTGAGATTCTAGTAAACGACCTGTTAGTCCTAAATGTGTATCACATACACGACCGAAACAGTGGAAAGAGCACAGTGGATGGTAAATCAGGAAACCGTTCTCAAAGGAATGTCGTTGGGATGTTATAAGCTTGCCACACGAGATGGCGGTTCGTACTGTTTAAGTGTCTTAAGATTAAAGATGAAGCTTCGTGCCAGATGGAAGCTCCCATCGTACGTAGTTAGCAACAACTATTTGGCAAGACAGAATATGTGTAAGGCACTCATTTCAATTTAACGCTATGCAAGCTAACAGGGCTGAAATAAAAAGAGTCGCACCTGTATCTAATTTAATGCAGGCAAAAAACTAGCAAGTACTATCACCACATGGCACTGCATGTGGCCACTGCAGTGGCATAACGTTAGCATGTAACACGCTGACAGTACAGAATGCCATAGAAATTAGACGATTAAGGAGGCATAAACCTTCTTCATACCAAAATTTAGTCTTTTGAAATTTTCACACTGTGACATGTTGCCTCATACATCCAGGCATGTATAGGATCTACTAGCAAACCCGCGCGGCAGTCAAATTCTTTCTAACAGTAAAACAAATCCATGTTTATACCCGCTCTCTTGAGGTCAAAAGTTACTCTGACACTTACTCGTTCACATGTCAGGCAGAAAGTACATTTTCATGGTCCTTCCTTTCAATAAGCCAGAATAAAAATGCTAGTCACACTGGCTGAACAAAAAGTTTTTCATCGCTTCTCAGACCTGCCTGTCCTCAGTCCGGCTGTCCTCCAGAAAAATGTCTAAAATCTGCCCTGTGCCCGCATTGGCCTTTGAGCGCTGTGACCTCCATTTCGGCACACGTGATGCTTTTTCCTACACGATGATTCTATACACCGGAGCTATTTTCAAACTGAGCTCTTGGTCGAGCTGTTTAGATTTGCTGCTGCAATTTTCTGCATTTCCTCCCTATACCTTAAGTTAAGGAGTGAAATGTTCCTCCCTCTGCTTTTACACCTCTTGACCTTTGATCTTTTGCGACCCCCCGACCCTCCAGCTTCGACATCCCCAATCGTTTTTGGATTACCCCCCACGTCCCGAATATCGTGACCGTATGTCCGAGCGCGGTTAAGATTTCTGTGCCGGCAACTGTTGACCGGGCCCGCACGCAACAGCGGCCGACGCACGGAACAACAGCCGATCATTAAATCCTCATCCTCATCCTCATCCTCATCCTCATCCTCATCCTCATCCTCATCCTCATCCTCATCCTCATCCTCATCCTCATCCTCATCCTCATCTTCATCCTCATCCTCATCCTCATCCTCATTCTCATCCTCATCCTCATCCTCATCCTCATCCTCATCTTCATCCTCATCCTCATCCTCATCCTCATTCTCATCCTCATCCTCATCCTCATCCTCATCCTCACCCTCATCCTCAACCTCATCCCTTCATCTGCTTGCAGTGTGCTCAGTACATCGGGGAGATCTGTCGCTACCTGCTTGCGCAGCCTCCGAAGCCCGTCGATCGTCTGCATGGAGTGAAGCTGGTGTTCGGCAACGGCCTGCGTCCGCAGATCTGGCACGAGTTCATGGATCGCTTCGGGATCCAGCGCGTCGGCGAGTTCTACGGAGCGACCGAGGGCAGCACTAACATAGGTACGTGAGGGCAACACTAACATAGGTACGCGGTGTGGTGTGGCGCGGTGTGGCGTGGCGTGGCGTGGCATGACGCGGCATGTTTTTCGACGTGTTATGGAATGCAGGAGAAAATTAGTTGACCGCCGCGACGCGAGATGCCACCCGTACCGCGCACATCTCCGCCGCGCTTCACCCTAGTGCCTCGTGCACCGACCCTAAACAAGAGCCTAGAAAACGAAGCCCCCCTTAAGCGTAATTTTTTACATGATGTTTAGTTAGTGGTTCGCTCACGACATAGCGAACACACAGAAAACACATAGAGAACACGTAGAGAACACATGGGGAACACATAGAGAACACGTATAGAACACATAGAGAACACATAGAGAACACATCGTCTGCGACTTCGTTTAACCCGCGGTCACGCGCTGCGATTTCTCTTGCAGTGAACTCGGAGGGAGTGGTGGGAGCCGTGGGTTTCACGTCGGTGATTGTACCGTGGGCGTACCCAATCACGCTCGTGCGCGTCAAGCCCGGCACGGACGAACCACAGCGCGACAGAGACGGCATGTGTGTGAGGAGCCAGCCTGGTGAGCGCGCGCGCACTGCGCGAGTAGTCCGGCCCGCGTTAGCGGCATGGGGCCTTCACGGCAGAACACTGGATACTTGTCTCTATATAGGACGTCTATGGTCGGCCATCGTACACAGAAATATTTATTTTTACTGTGGTTAAATTATGGCTCTTTTTACCCAATCAGGGGCATTGTTTCACATAAATTAACCGAGGTTGAATAATTTTTACTGCGGTAAAAATTATTATTTTTGAGTACGATGACGCTTTCCTTGTGTAGCGTTTGATTACTGTATATTACTGACATATAGCATTGTTTGGTTACTATATATTACTATATTATAGCAAAAATACAGCTAAATATAGCATTATTACTGCATGGTGCTGCCATCTAATGTGATTAAATGATATAAAATCCAAAGGTATCATTAGTGAACTCATTTTAAATCTAATCGTACCCTATTCATTTTTATGGTCTGGTTCAAACAAAAAAAACAGTTCAGTGGCGGCCACACAGTGAAAACGCCTCCGTATGAACAACCGGCCATTGCGACAACCGCCATCAAAATATTCTGAAATATCACAATGTTTTAATAGATTTTTGCGGTGTGTTGCAGGAGAGCCGGGCGTGCTGGTGGGGAAGATCAGTCGCAGCGACCCCCTGCGCGCTTACGACGGGTACGTCAGCAAGGCGGCCAGCGAGAAGAAGGTCATAGAGAACGTGTTCTCAAAGGGAGACGTCGCTTTCCACTCGGGTGCGTAGTACGGCTGTGTGCTCTAGCTCTATCTATATCTATCTATCTGTCTGTCCGTCCGTCCGTCCGTCCGTCTGTGTCCGTCCGTCCGTCCATCCATCCGTCCATCCATCCATCTATCCATCCATACATTCGTCCATCCATCCGTTCGTCTGTCCGTCCATCCATCTATCTATATC